TGAGCAGGGTTTAGGGATTGAAAAAAAGCAGTTGGATTATAAATAGGTTATTAGACTTTTTGGTGTGTAGTATTGCTTAGTATTTTTCACTCCTTGTTTGTATTTTGAAGAGGCCGTAGAGCGAGTCGAAATACGGCACAACTCAGGTATGTCACCGCCAGATAAAAAAATTCAAAAAATCATTTCAGGAAATAAAAAACTGGAAAAGTATCCCCTTAACCAGAGCGGTGCCACAAACTCTCCAGACTGTAGAGTACTCTAAAGGTATGCAATAAAAAAAATGAGAATAAGATAAATAACAGTTTATGTTCACGCTGCAGCAAAATTTCTATGAATATATTCCGAGAGGAATTTGTCTCTTAGAAAGACTAACCCCTCTGTGTTATGTTAAGATTGCTAATGAGAACATGTAAAAGCGAGATGTAACAATGTAGTGGACCTTAGAAGAACGCGAGAAGCGCACGAGAAATATTGAATTTTTTGTATATAAATACGTTATATAGTCAGTTTTTAGGAGTTTGTTCTCGTCATTTCGCTTTGTAACTATTGCAAATAAATTATCTTCAAAGCTTTCCGAGAGTTCTTCATGATGTAGATCAACTATTTTTAGTGTTAAGTGTCGGTTAGAAATTCACGTTTTCTCATTAATTTCCACGTAAAGTAACAACATTCATTACATTCATAGTACGATGTATAAAAGAAACAGCTTTTTTAACCTCAAGCAATAATTTGGCAAAACTGCAGACTTAGTTTGCAAATGGAAAAACTGATCAACGCCAATTGCCAGCTTAACAGACTCTTCTTTCAATTTCAGCTAAAGCACTTCCGGCTTTAAGTTTGCTCAGAGTTGTGGGCCATAGGACTCACCCTTTCATTTTTCACAACACGCTATTGAGATTCTTCGTTATATAGCAGAGCTTTCGAGTCTGTCTCGGTACTTTCACGGTCTTAGTGACTTTCTTTGAAACATTTCCATATCAAATTGAGGAAGTAAGTCGTAAAACAGTCAAACGTGGCTTCCATTTCCGCGAGAGAGGTAAGAACCATGTTTGTATCAGATTTTTGAATATAATTTAAGGTAAATACTTTTATTTCGAGTTTCTCAGTTAACATTTTCTCCTTTAAATGTTCTTAATCTGTCCTAATTTTCTCTGATTTCCGGCAATGAAAGACGTTCCTACAGTTAACTGATGAGGTTTGCTTACTTTTATTGATTCTAACGTGTATTAATTATAATCGCTTCTCCGCTTCGTGTTACTTATACGCTAATTAGGCTTAGCTTGTTACAGCAAGTTACAGCTGTCGAATTCACAAAAATTCGCGGGCAATACCTGGAAATTACCTTAGACAAAATAAGTAATTCGTGAGAGTTAAAAGGAATATCCAAATTATCGATTTGATTTATTGCAAGCGTTAATGATCGAAACGCTTTCAGTTTCCAGATCATGTTTACTGTAAGTACTCTCGACCGATATATCGACCTCGAATTTTCACTCTTATTTCTAATTAGGCGTTTCTGTATATACTTCAGGAACGGCAAGGAGTGATCCTTCCACCTGTATTATATACACAGGCCCTTAATTTAGCTAATTATACTTCATAGCGGTTGGTACAAAATCTTCGTTACTGTATTTAATATTTAAATACAGTTTATGACACGATTTCTTGAAATTGACATAACCATCGCGTATTATTTATTAAGAATATATTATATTTTCGGAGCAAAGTCTAAAACGGTCGAAAACGAAGCGATCTATATATATTGTATAAGTCACCATCTAAGTAACGTATACTAACCACTTGTCAAAGACGGCATAATAGTCATGCGCGCTAACATTGAAATCTACTACAATCTTTAAGATCTGATTGTTTCATTTAGCTGAATATCAAAGTCGTGTGTTCAGTAAATAACCTATATAACAATGTATGAGGTGATAGGAGAGTGTTACCCACCGCAGCTTTAATCTAATTGGCTTTAGTTCAAATTTTCAGGTAGTCTGATCATAGTTGATAGAAGGGAATGGTTATAAAGGCGGAAAACATCAAAGGAGCAAACAAAGAGTTCAAGATTTATGTAGGAAGGTCCATGACTGTGCACAATCTTTTGTTTTCGCTCATAAACTATGGATGAATTATGTAACCGAAACATTTCTATTGGTTAGTTTCTCAGTCAGTAATAAACAACAATTATGTTTTGTGCAACGTCAAGATCGAAAGCCCGAACAAAAAAATACAACAAAGAACTTTGTCGGGTTTCATAGCCATTCCGCTCTATTAACTATAGTCTGAAGGGTCAACAGTCTTCTCGTGCCTAACCTCCAGGAGGCTCTCAATGAGGTTAACCGTTAGCCGTAAAACTGGCCAAAGATTTAGCCGCTAGCAATGAAAATTGGAAGATTTTAACCGTTAGCCGTAAAAAATGTTGACCGTAAAAAAATTTAGCCACGGAAGTGGAAGTCTTCTAAGGCTAATGTAAGTCTTCTAAGACTTTCACTTTCGTGGCTTAAAAAGATCTTAAAAGAACGTCGCTTAAAAAGAAAGTCATTGACTGCTGAATTAATACACTTGATCGATACTCAATACATGACTAATATTCGACCCACAGTTAACCGATATACCACCGACAGTTGACCGCTCTATCTCCGACAGTTGACCGATGCACCACCGAGATATGACCGACTCTAGATCGATATAGCGGTCGATATATCGACCGGCACTGCGCCGATAGTTGGTCGCTACATCGGCCGACTACCGAAAGACTATCGACTGACTATCAACCTAAAGTTGACCGACTGTCGACTAACTGTCGACGGACTGTCAACCGACTGTCGACCGGCTGTCGACCGATATATCGGTCGAGTATCGACCGACTCTCAACCGATATATCAACCGCTATATCGTTCGAGAGTACATACGTAAACATGATCTCAGTTTTCTTTGCGTGTCATGTGGAGCATGCACTCAATTGTATTCTTGCTCCCGTATTTACGATGCATTTGATCAAAAAACGTTAAACGTTTTCAGCGTATTTCATATATTTATATTTATTATTTTATATTTTGAAAAATTTTTTTTTCTTTTTGATAGACTATTTAGATTCTCCTTCCAAACTGTAATGTTTTACTGATTTCCTTGTTAAATATTAAGACAAGTTGATTTTTCTTCAAATGAAAGCTAGTGATTTATTGCAAGCGTCGATCCGTTCAATTAACTGCTTTTGAATTTTAGGAATCCAATTCATCAACTGGTTACGATTGTCATCTGCTAAACAAAATATGATCAATCTATAATTACATCAATTGAATGTTTTCAATCAATTTTATTTTTATCAAAACTGGTTTGGTTCTGCATGCGGCTGCACGCATCCAAGTATGTGTCTGGTGATAATTTATGTTACTATATGGCAAGGTAGTCTTACATGTAGGTAAATTCGAGACTTCTCATTGGTTCCAACTTGATGAGGATTTTGCCATACAGACCATCATCACACCATTCAGACAATCATAAAACATGCATTGTTTTACTTGGAATCCAGAAAATTCAAAGTAAATTAGTTTAGTCCAAGTGACATTAGTGTATGACTATTACATTGCTTTCTTGAGCTACTAAGGAATATTGGCACTATGTCATTCCCATACTGCCACAACCTTGGGCCAATATTCTCTAATAAAGCCCTCAGGCTGGAGCTTGACGGGTTAGTTAGAAGTTATAATTAACTTTTGCAAAAATGATTTCCACTGTACATGTATCTCAGGCTATTTTGAACTCAAGATCAATTTCTTTGTTACTCTGTGCTTATTGAGAATTTCCGGGCAGGAAGATATTTTAAGCATTTAATGATATTATATGATAAAAAGCAGTCTTGATCATCAGGATAATTAAAGTTAGCATTAAAAAAAATTAATTTTTCGCAAAAAGCAATGCTAACATGATTGCAAAATTAATTCGTTTAATATATATATATATATATATACTGCTCAGTAAACTACAAAAATAAGCACCTGTACAGTACTGAAATCCATTTCAACAGAGATCAGCATGCATCAGTGTATATATTTTACTGTTTTTCCAGCGATAAGTGTAACAGTTGAACTAACACCCATCTATATGAATATGGGCGTCGGTTGAACTGAAGGAATTTCAATAAAAGACCCACATTATTTATACATTTTGACTAGCAATTCCTATTTAAAAATCAAGTAAGAGAATTTTACTTTGGTTTTGTAAAATTTGTTTCCTACAAGGATTCAGCAAACTCTCCCCTCTTGTGGAGACATGGTGGCCTCACGATTTGTGAGGTGGACTCGTGCAACACACTTTCCTCTCAACGTCCATCTTTCCACCCAGGAGCATAAATGGGTAGCAGAAATTAGTCAGGGAAGCTTGATGAAATGCTAGGGGGGATGGGGCCTACCATAGGATGGACTGGCATCTCGTTCAGAGGGTGGGTAGTTACTCCTAGTCGCTTCATGTGAGGAAACCAGGATTATAAGCTCAGGGCCACTGCTCAAATACAGACTATTACCTAACTACCTACAGACTCTTTAAGTTTAAATCATTTAAATTGCTGCTGTTACAAATTATATGAACTTGCAACACAAAGAAGTTGATGTTTGCCCAATGTATCTCAGTCAATTACAAATGTATTTTATAAATCTTAAAATATATTATAATAAGAAGTAAATTGCTGTTCATTTAAAATAATAATGCTTGTTTTCTTCACTATATATATCTTTTGTTCTTTCCCTACTTTTAGTATGCCATTAATATTAATTGCTTGTGATTTTGTGTCTATGTATCCCTCCCATTCTCAGAAGAGAAAAAAATACTTATTTTGCTACTGGGTAATATGTTGAGCTAATGTTTATTACCATTTGCAACCATCTTTTTTCAGGCCAGGAGAGCTTAAAACAGCAACTTCTTGTAGGAAGCATCTTCTTACAGTTGCTATGGCTACAGGAAGAAGTTCAATTAAAGTTCCATGTGAAAATGAAGACTTACCCGACAAAGAAAATGCACCAGATTTTGATGAGGACACTTTACGAGGTGAGTTATGTTCAACTTCGGCTTCAGTTATTGTTAGAACAATTTCTATTCCACCAGTTTCAAGAATGTAAGTAGATGTAGACAAGGATACATACTCTGTATGACCACTTTAAAGGATATTTGACCAGCCATGACTCTCTTCTATGATTACATTATGCTGTTCATTGAGAAGGAATTTTCAACACACAAACCTTTGTTATATTCTTTTCTAAAAGTTCAAAACAAGGACACAAAGTTATTAATAATACGTAAAGACTTTATTTGATCATCATACAACATCCATTTTGTAAGTTTGTATATCATTATAAAGTACCATCATCATCATCATCATCATCTTCCCCTTATAATGCAGCAGTCAATTTGAAAGCTTCAACATCCCCTCCCTTCTCCTCGAGCAACCCACGGGCTTTTGATCATCATCCAAGCCAAAGGGGAGGGGGAGGGGTAGGGGGAGATTGAACCTTGCCTGACTGGCATTGAAATTTGAACCAGAAGTGTCAAGATTTTCCATTAGAATACATGTGTTATATCATTGAATATATAGGTGTTTAAGGTAGATAGTGCACGTTCGCTAACAAATGGCTCAGAAGAAAAAAGCGCATAAGGTCTACGTTTTAAAGCTTGGTCAATGTGCTGAAAGTCACAGTTGCTAATTATTTTGTTTTTTACATAAAAATTTGTGACTGATCTCGAAAAGTTTAAATGCCTAGAGGTTTGCTTTAAATTGAATGACGCTTAACTCTCGTCATTATTATTACCACTGTTGTCACCCACATTATTAGCATTATGATAACTTATAATCTCATCTTCTTTATTATCATTCTTATCATTTAAATCCTATCTATTTGTCGATGAGTAATATTGCTTCTGGTTTTTATGATGCAACATCTGCAACATCTGGATCTTATTAACTCAGTAACTATCTAAATTTAATTAAAGCAGTAGACTTATAATTATGCCAACTCTCTCTGATTATCAGAGAGTCTCACAGAAAAAGAACGATACTCTGGGCCCCCCATATAGGTCATCAAACCATCAAGATAAAATAGGATTTGGGTCGGTTCCTCACAGAAATATAACATTTGAACTCCAGGTTTCCTATATCCAATGTTATTATGCTTATCTTAGGATTTTTATCTCAATTTTCTTGATCGCACTTAGATTGTTTCAAAGTAGGGATTACACTTTCTTCTAAACAACAACTACAACAGCAACTGAGTCTGATTGGTTAAGCTTTCGACCAAAAAACTCTCTTATAAGTTAACTGAGAAGGGTTTGTCCTGTGAGGAGGGAGGGGTGGCTGCTGATGTCATCTAAGGTTTTCAGGGATGGGTCAAGTCAGGCAGGTGCAAAAGTGGCTGGCACAAAAGAAAAAATCTGCAGATTTTAAATCTTCGGATCTTGGCAGCTCTGCTTACACACTAATTAACTACCCACAGAATTTGACACAAATTATTTTCTATATATTTTTTTTGCAGCCACGGCTGATTTTCATAGGAATCAAGGTAATGAGGCCTTCAAGAAAGGAGATTTCATCGATGCTATTCATTTTTACACCAAAGGAATTAAAGTGAACTGTAATGAGAAAGAACTGAAGGCCAAACTGTACAACAACAGGGCTATTGCACATCTTAAACTTGGTAAGATGATGAGAGCTTTTATATACTTTTTTTTCTCTTTTGAAGCTATTGGGCTGTCGGTGGTAATTTTCTAAAAAAGGTGATAATTTTGAATGTATGCCCAAAAAGAAATTCTCCGAAAAAGTATATATGCCTTATCTTGGCCTCTCAAAAATGCATAGAAGTAACGTACCTCTTACCCCAGATATCAATGAGCATCACAAGCTTTTCCTAAAATTGAGGTAAAGGTGGTGGGTTTGCTATATGAACAGCTAATCAGAGATATTTATTTCAAAAACAGGAAATCACCAGGATTCACTGAGGGATGTAGAAGCAGCCATTGAGTTAATGCCAACTTCCCTCAAGGCAATTATGAGAGGTTAGATATGTTAGCTGTGCTATAATAATGATAATATAACAATAATAATAATGATATAGAACTCAACACTCTAAGGTTAAATGAGGTTAAATGAAGTTAAATCTTGTCTCAATTGACTTTCATCAAGAGGTCATGACCATCCTAATGTTCATTTGAATCCAGCTCTTGACTGCTGTGCCGTGACTTTCCATTATGATGAGAATATTAATTTGAGTTAGATGAAGAACTCAATGCTGAATGCAAATTAAGGCAAAATTTTAGCATGAGTATTCTAGTTTTCTTTTGCTTATTGAGTTAGGTAGAGGTGTCTGATACGTTTATTCCACTATTAAGCTGTTTTGAAAAGAAGGAAGGACTTGACTTAACTCAAAACTGTGAGAAAAGTAATACCTCGATTGTTCGTTAGGTATAACTCAACTTTAAGTGCTATTATACATGTTTTAATAATGTAACTAGAGACGGCATAAGTAAATCTTATTCTTGGTGAACTTCAAGCCTTAGTTTGAGTCACCTCCTAGTAATCAATTATTAACTCTTTGTCTTTGATTAAATCAAATAAGTTAACTCAAACTAAAGGGAAACTTAGTTAATACCAAATCAAATGTTTTATTTTGTATTATAATAAAGTTCGGATATAACGCGCGCTGTCTTTGGTTGAAAGAGCGTGCTCTGTGAGAGTATAGAGCATAGAGCTGAGCTAAAGCTGTCACGCCATCTGCCAACTTGTTCTATGTTCCACCTTTTCCGGGACTTCTTTTTAGCTTTTTTCCGATAATTGAAAGTAAAATTTCGCAACAAGTAGGTAAGTAGCAACAGAAGAACCAAACAAAGGTTTGTAAACATACCAGGCGCCGTAATTTACGTTATTAAAATGTGAGCAGATACGAAAATCCTCAAAAGGAAAAAAAAAAAAGGCATTCCGAGTTTTAAAGATTTTCAAGCTCAGTTAGATTGCAAGCTTACGTACGGTAATAAAAATCAAACACAGCTAACACTCATATAGTATATAAAGTTCAGTGTTCAAAAACAAAACAGAACAAAACAGAAATGATGAAAAATATAACCAAACTGGCATAACTGTTAAAATTCATACTAATCACGAAGGTTTCTGAGCGAATATGATCATGCTGAAGTCCATCGCGGCTCGCTCATCATGGCGATCCCGGTCATCACTGTAAAGCAAGCTTCAGAAGCTACATCGGCCGCCCATCGAATGAAAAAAATAAGAGCTTGCTCTGATATCCTTTCCGATGCGTTGAGTGGAAAGTCACATCAGTCACTGCAGCCGAGTTTTGCGGTGCTGTCGTCCCGAGCGATTTTCATGTTCCGGTGAATTCGGCCCTCGTTCATTCGAAAAACACTCGCCTTGAACAGTTTGTTTTCTACCTTGTCATGTGAAAGAACTCGCGTGTTTTTGTGAGACATAATTCGGCTGAAGTTCACTGAAAATTTCCCTTCAAGATTCTATATTAGAGACTTAAAAACTTCAGGAAAAAGTGTTAAATTCGACCTGCCGAACTATTTTAGTTTGTAAACTATCGTAGAATGTGAACTTTGATGGTTTTTGAACTTTGATGGTTTGACACTTTTGACAGCTTTTGTGTTATACAGCCAATCAGGTTATTTGAACCATTCTGACAGGGATTCTGATTGGCTGATTGTAGCGTGCTTTATGAGAGTATAGAGCATGCTGACGACACTGTTGTTCGCTTTGGAAATAAAGTTTGTTTTGAAAATTGAAAGTAATTCTTGGGGAATTTAACAGATTCTTTATTATAAAACAAAAGGAGAAGCCTTGACTGTGCTCTGTTCTGTTATAAAGCACTTAGGAAGCGGCTAGAGCACTAAAGAAGTAGGGAGAAACACTCGACTACGTCTCGTGTTTCTCCCTACACTTCTTTCTTGCTCTAGCCGCTTCCTAAGTGCTTTATAACAGAACAGAGCACAGTCAAGGTTTCTCTATTTTTTAATTATGATCGAAGTTGAAATTTAACCTGGTTCTAAAAAGGTTTTAAAACTAAAAAATGTACTATAATTATAAAAATTATTAAAAGATGGGTTTATTTTTCTATTTTCACATTGCATGTCTTATATTTTATTTCTATCTCTTAGTGATTTTGTGTGGGAATTGTCAGCTGCAATTTAAATGTTCTTAGAAGTTTCAATTATCAAAAGCTAATCTAGCTGAAACCTAATAGGGCCTGTTCATTCTTTTCCCTTTAGTTTTTTGATTTTGTTTTGTTTTCTGGTCTGTAATGATTTAGCTTTCAATGGCTTCCTTTTCTTTTCTTGGAATTGAGCTGTAGTAATTATTTGCTTCTTCGTGTTGTTGCCTACAGGAGCCACTGCCTGTGTTAAACTAAAGAGATTTAAAGAAGCAATCACTTGGTGTGATAAGGGATTAGCTGTATCCTTTCAAGTAATCTTTAATTGTTTACCATGGGTATGATGGAAATACTCCATAATTTGACGTTTCAAGGGAGAAAATGCAAAGAAGGGTATTAATTACGATGGTAACTTGTCATCTCATACTTTTAGTGTGTGTGAGTAAAAACTGTGGGAAAAGTTAATACCTTATGACTCAATAGTGATATACTCCTTTTAGCCATGTCTTAGTCATAATATCCATGCCACAACTGATACTTTAGTTTAGTTAAAAGACTAATATTCACCCAGTGTATACATATGTGGATAGATGATCTCTCTAAAACGAGTCAGAAAAAGATGCTTGGCAATGCTTATATATATTATGTTGATTTTCTTGCCTTTAGATTTTTTTTTTCACGACTCAGAAACTCGGAAACTTTCATTGTATTTTCCTATGGGCAAATATAACTTTGAAAGGCACATATCTGTGTTTTAGATTCATTTCTTTCATTGCTGTAAAATGTTAGTCTGAACTTAAAGATGTATTAATTTAAAAATCAAGCAAGTGCTTCCCAAGTTTTGGAAACAAGGGGTGAAAATTTCAGGTTACACGCAGTGGAAAACTTTTTGTAATGCGTAGATTTACTTCGTACCTGACTTTAAGACTGATTGTTTATTAAACTGACATCTACCTGAACACAAGCCTTCCTGATAAGCCATTTTACAATTGTTTACTTAGTTTCCAGGCCTTTGATTTGGAGTGAGGCTGAAGATAACCTTGTTGAGAGAGATCAATATCTAGTAGGCATAATTGCAAAGTAATTTGCATTTGAAAAGCAGTAATGTTGTATCATAACAAGGTAACCCTTAGCCACACTCCTGTTAAAGGGCTTGGGAACCAAGCACGCAACTGTAAAAATGGACTATCAAATATCAATCCAGAAAAATGATCTTTTTTGTTTTTTCTACATTTTTAAACCTTAACACAAAAAAGATTGACAACAATAATAGGATTTTGTTGTCATTAAGACTTCAGTCTCTCAGAGAAGTGGGGGATAAGTCCGTGGAGGAAAAAGATCACATTAGCTATGACCATGTTGGTCCAAGTTCAGGTGATGTCAAGAAGGTCATTGACTTCTATAACTGGGAAGCCAAGCATAGGGAGGGTAACATGTATTGCAATCTTGGCAATGCTAATATCAATCTGGGTAATTTCAAAAAAGCCATAGAGTACCACAACCTACATCTTAAAATAGCTAAAGAAGTAGGAGACAAGCATGGGGAGGGTAACGCTTATGGCAATCTTGGCAATGCTTATGACAGTCTAGGCGATTTCAAAAAAGCCATAGAGTACCACAATCTATATCTTAAAATAGTTCAAGAAGTAGGAGACAAGCATGGGGAGGGTGGTGCTTATGGCAACCTTGGTATTGCTAATTGCAGATTGGGTGATTTAAAAAAGGCCATAGAGTTCCACAACCTAAGTCTTAAAATACTTAAAGAAGTAGGAGACAAGCATGGGGAGGGTAAGGCTTATGGCAATCTTGGCGTTGCTTATAAAAGACTGGGTGATTTAAAAAAAGCCATAAAGTATCACAACCTACATCTTAAAATAGCTAAAGAAGTAGGAGACAAGCATGAAGAGGGTAAAGCTTATTGCAATCTTGGCGTTGCTTATAAAAGACTGGGTGATTTAAAAAAAGCCATAAAGTATCACAACCTACATCTTAAAATAGCTGAAGAAGTAGGAGACAAGCATGGAGAGGGTAACGCTTATTGCAATCTTGGCAATGCTAATTACAAACTAGGTGATTTCAAAAAAGCCATAGAGTACCACAACCTACATCTTAAAATAGCTAAAGAAATAGGAGACAAGCATGGGGAGGGTGGTGCTTACGGAAATCTTGGCAATGCTTATTACAGTCTAAGTGATTTCAAAAAAGCCATAGAGTACCACAACCTACATCTTAAAATAGCTAAAGAAGTAGGAGACAAGTATGGGGAGGGTGGTGCTTACGGCAATCTTGGCAGTGCTTATTACAGTCTGGGTGATTTCAAAAACGCCATAGAGTTCCACAACCTAAATCTTAAAATAGCTAAAGAAGTAGGAGACAAGCATGGGGAAAGCAACACCTATGGCAATCTTAGCAATGCTAATTACAAACTGGGTAATTTCAAAAAAGCCATGGAGTACCAAAACCTACATCTTAAAATAGTTAAAGAAGTAGGAGACAAGCATGGGGAGGGTGTTGCTTATGGCAATCTTGGCAATGCTAATTACCTTTTGGGTGATTTCAAAAAGGCCCTAGAGTACCACAAGCTACATCTTGAGATGATTAAAGAAGTAGGAGACAAGAATAGGGAGGGTTGTGCTTATGGCAATCTTGGCAATGATTATTACGGTATGGGTGATTTAAAAAAAGCCATAGAGTACCACAACCTACATCTTAAAATAAGTAAAGAAGTAGGAAACAAGCAAGGGGAGGGTCATGTTTATGGTAATCTTGGCAAAATGTATCAAACTCTGGGAGATTTGAAAAAGGCCGACGAGTCGTACAAGCTAATGCTCGAAACTGCCAAAGAGGTCGCAGACAAATTCTTGGAGGCAACGGCTTATTATTCATTAGGATGCGTTTCTGAGTTGCTGGGTCGACTGCTCAAAGCCGTTGAACATTACCAAGCTAGCATAACCTTATTCAATTCCTTGAGAGTACTTCTAAAATCTAAAGATGAATGGAAAGTTAATTTTCGAAATCAGTATCAAATTGCGTACACAGGTTTGTGGAGAGTTCTAGTAGAACAAGGTAATATGGATGAAGCCTTGCTTGCTGCTGAGAAGGGACGAGCTCAAGCTCTGACCGACCTTATGGAATTCCGTTTTAGTGGTGGAACAAGTCAGCACAAGAAAGGAGATGAAGATTTAGCGGTTTTAAAAGACGTTCCATTAAACACTGTCTTTCAAGCAGTGGACGGAGCTAGCGTCAGTCTTTGGGTTGTGTCCGAAGGAAAACAAGTTCAGTTAAGACAATGTAAACTGAATAGTTCTGTTTCAGGGAACAGTGGAGCCAGCCAGTTCTTTAAGTCGTTCATACTCGTTGTCTATACACAACTTGGTGTTCGTTCTAATGTGAGATGCGAGAATCGATCTTTGGATGCTTTGAGGGAGAACCGTTCAAAAGTGGATGAGAAAACTAAAGAAGACAACTCTCAACCTTCCATGGAATGCTTAAGCACTTTGTATGATACCGTCATGAAGCCAGTGGCTGACCTGCTTCAAGGGGATGAGTTACTCATTATTCCCGATGGACCCCTGTGGCTCGTTCCTTACGCCGCACTCAAGGATGGTAATTCTAAATATCTGTGTGAATCGTTCAGGATCCGACTCGCTCCATCGTTAACAAGTCTTAGACTCATTGCCGATTGCCCAGATGATTATCACAAAAGCAGTGGTGCTTTACTAGTAGGAGATCCGTGGGTAGCCGAGGTTACTAACAGCAAGGGAGAGATACTCCTCGAGCAGCTTCCGTGTGCTAAAGAAGAAGTAGAAATGATCGGAAAAATTCTGAATATCACGCCAATCACTGGCAGACAGGCCACGAAACGTGAGGTGTTGAAAAGACTCAGTTCCGTTTCCTTAGTTCACTTTGCGGCACACGGATGGATGGAAACTGGCGAAATTGCTCTGACACCTGACCCACACCGAAGATCTACTGTGCCAACGGAGGAGGATTACATTTTAACAATTGGAGATGTGTTGAATGTTCAACTTCGCGCCAAACTTGTTGTGCTTAGTTGCTGCCACAGTGGTCGGGGCGAGATCAAGGCTGAAGGTGTGGTTGGCATTGCGCGCGCTTTTATGGGGGCTGGTGCTCGGTCTGTTGTGGTGTCCCTGTGGGCGATCGATGACGAGGCTACTCTCGAGTTAATGAAATGCTTTTATCAAAACCTTGCAAAAGGTAAACCTGCAAGCGAATCACTGAACCTGTCCATGAAAAGCCTCAGAGAATCAGACAAGTTCCATGACATCAAATACTGGGCGCCTTTTTTTCTAATTGGAGATGACGTCACTCTTGACTTCATGGCAAAGGAAATATAAAATCACATAAATGAAAAACTTTTTTCTTTTCATCTCAAGAGAAAAAGAATGTAGGAACGTGGAAGGGTACGCGTTTTTCTATTTTGGCAATTTTTGGCAATTTTTAAAAACTATTTTACTTTTTGCGAAATAGAACTTGAGATGTGTAACTTTACTTTCATGAAGAAATAAAAACACGCTTTCATTATATTTTGATCAGTGGAATTGTCTTTTTTTCTTACCTTAGCAAATTTAAATGTTTGCGAAGAGAACGAAATGTAACGAGGCTTCTGCTATGAGTGCCTGCAGTAGTTGCAGGTAATTACGGGGTTTTCGTTTTCGCCAAAATAACAGTTAGCTCTAATCCTGCATTACAAATAGTTGTATGCAAAACAATTTAAAGGGTTTTTTTTCCTTGTACATTACCAGGCGCTTCTCCACTGGGTTTTAATTACGTTTACATTCTAAGCTTTTAGTAAGCAAAGAAACTTCGTCATTGCAAAAGTTGGCGAAATGTTTATTTCCAAAAATTTTATTTGCAAAATTTGCAGCAAAATGTCATTTAAACTTGGATGAATTTTCTACATCATAAATTACTTTGGTACAACTTGAGATTATCTTTAGGAAAAAAAATTGATTATTCTCTTTTTTAATCCATTTAAATGTAATCTAATTCTATCACTGCCAAGATTGCCATTCTAAGCTTAATTTAAAAAAGTAACCATCAGAGGCGATGGGTTACTGACCATATTTTTGAGACATTAGACCTGCCTCTAGGGGTGTAGCCAGCCTCTTGTCCCGTAGGCCCGGCCTACAATTGTTTTTCGCCTGCTTGATTGTTATAATATGACTCTTGCAAGTTTTGAAACTAAAATTGAACTCTCTTAAGGAACAGGTCTAGAGCAAGTTAAAATGCTGGCTACAACCCCGTTTTTAACCAAATGAGTTTGGTCAATTTTGTCCGTTTTATCAAACACCTATCTCTTCGTTTTAAAGAACCACGGCAGAGAGGTAAATAATTGTCCTTATAATCTAAACAAGGAAACAGCGAAGCAGATTTCACTTTTAATTTATGTGACACGGAATTTGTTGTTTCTAGTAGAAAATATTTACACCCATAAATGAGAGAAGCAATTATTTTAGTGAAATGGTTCGTAAATAAATGGAAACCCAGTCCGTAGTTGAAAAGGTTCAGGGCTTCGGGAGAGAACTTTCAAATTTTGAAAATTCCCTCTTCAAATTATTTTCTGTGCTTTAAATTTACCCTAGTATAATATGAAGATATCTTCCTTATATTTAAGAATTTTTACTTAGGTTTTCAGAGCACGCTCTGAAATTGGACTCCATTATGTGGTCAAAAGTTTAAGATATACTGTATCACAGCTGTTTTAGAAGAAATTTTTGTAAAATCAATCAATGATTTTGCAGATTTTCGTAACTACCATTGATTTATGCTGGTATAAAATGTAATAGTTAACCTTGCGCATGGTTGATTATGATGTAACGTAGGATTTTAAAAAGACAAGCTGGAACAATTTTAACTAAAGATGCTTTGTATAATGTCAGTGTATTTCGTGTGAAGTGTGTTGATGCTATTTTTGTTTACAGTTGAAGGTAATTATTCATTTACCTTAGTTTAATCAACTCATGAACTCCGAAGTTCTAAAGAAAAATTCTCCCAACTGACAAGAATGAGTTTCTTGCATCATTCCGAGAATTTGTTGTAACATTACGTTTCGGGCAAAAAATTATCGTCCAGTTTAGATTTTCTCTAGTTCTTATTGAAACCATCTTTGTCGGTGTATTAATTTTGTGAGGAGAATTTAAATTATGATCAATCTTGGGAGTAAATGGGTTCATTTTAGTGTCTCCTTCTAGCGCGTATTTTACTTAAAGCCTTGGCAATGAAATGCAGTTTCTATTGTAATGAACTTTTTCTTACTTCTTTGTGTAAGAGAAGTGCACAGTATATAAAATAAAAAAAACTGCGGTGGTTTTCATTGTGTGTTTCCATATTCTAAGGATTCACGTGAGATGCTGAGAGAACAGATCTTATGGGGACTTCAATCCTTGTTTTGACCCACATGTACCAAGTTCACAATCTGTGCAGGTCACTGAGTACTAACTTTCTATGTTTCAAGCCCCCACCCACTTAACAAACGCGCGTCGTCTCTTTGATTGAATCTCTTCCACTGTCCATCGTTCTCCATATTGTCACACGGTTTAGAACGCCGACGGACGTGTTTATACTGTTACATGTGTGCACCTTTTTTACCTTTTTCCTCACATAAGTTTTTATACCTTTTCACATCTGTGTATCGCTTTTTTCTCCTTCCTTTGGTTCCTCTCTTTTCTCTATCGTACTTTTCCTCTATCCCATCTTTACGCGCACTACTTTCATCGGCCTTAAATTTTATTTTTCTGGGCGCTTCATTAGACGCGACTATCTCCTTGTCTGTTTCAGTTTTCATTCGTCTCAATCCTCGCGTAACGTCAGGCTTCTTTCAACTCATGTACCTCCTTACCCTCCTCATCCCCCCCCCACCCACTCAGAGTAGTTGTTATCATGCCTATTTTTTGTCCGTATTAGGATGGTGTCCTCTTGACGTCATCTCTAGTGAAATCTCGGTTTTCCTTTCAATTGATTCCCGGTCCACAGGGGTCGGGTGCCGGTGTTTGCTCTCCTCAATCCTCTCTTTACAGTTGCAGTTATAAAGCGGAGCAGTTGCAGTTATAGAGCTCTCTCCAAGTCTTCGCGACGTAATCGATGCATTTTGTTGGAAACGAGTCCGTCAATGTCCAAATGAAGGCTTCTACTGATTGGGAATGGGTCAAACTCTCGTCCAGGGTCCACCTACATCACGAATCCAAGATGGCGGCAGGCCAATCTATGGACGACTTCACAGGGTCGGTGGCCGCCATCTTGGATGTAGACCCCGAGAAGACCGTTGGAAAGAGTTTGAACAAAATAATTAAGAAAGATTAAGTGACTGTAATACTTCCTAAGAGGCAGTCGATAACAACTTGCGGGATTCATTATGAGCAAACATGTTCCATCAATTATGTTTCCCTTAGACATACAAACAGGTTTAAGTCCTGCTAATCCAATTCCATTTCATTTTTATTAGTGAGACTCATAATATTTTTATTTGCTTGCTCTTTTTGTCGCGTACATGTTTAAACGGAACTATTTTAAACCAATAAAAGGTGAGGTTGATTCAAAGGTTTTGCGCATCCTCAATGCACTAATTTACTGTGCATAATCATCTTGAAGAGCGATTAACTCCAGGAGGCGCCATAAATATTCGTGTCAATCAGGAGACTCTTAGGCGAGAGTCATCGTTTATTACTCTTGAGGTTGCCGAGTGAATGTGGTCAATCTTTGCAGGAGCGAATCAGAGCTCTAGCGATGAAACAATGCATTGCTTCTAACCTTACCTGAACTGATTAACAAGGATCTTTACATTCAATATTTCACTTACTTATACCATAAAGGAATGAACAATATGTATAGTTTCGCCGTAGAAAGAAATGAAAAGAAGTATATGGACAGTTTCACTGTTTACAGTGATTCAGGCAACAACTCAACTAACAAGTGGTTCAATCAATTGATTTATGCAAACGGTATTTCACTTTCGTCAAACGCTTAAACATTAATTCATAAGCTCAAATTCCGTCATAAAAAGTACACTAATCTGGAAGGAAACCGCTTTGTATGGAACATGAACTCGAAAGACTGGGAAAGAAAGGGAATCTGGTTTCAAAAAAGGGTCTAAATATCTTGAAATTTTCCTCTTAAGGAATGATTATCGGAAAATACATCTAAATGATGTTTACAAGGGTTGTCTTAGCTGAGGAGTATCTTTGAGTAGTTTCCTTCCCAAGAAGCTGAGACGTAGTGAGCTAATGGAAGGTAAGCTGAAATAATATATCAGTATTAGTGAAATCTGTATTGATCGTACACAATAGTCTGTTGATCAAATTTGAAACCAACCACAAGTCCTACATACGTAAACGCTCATTGAACTTACGACGAAGGCACTTTAAAGGTGTGTTATCATATTTACCATAACAGCTGTAATCTCTTAGATTCTCAATAATAAAAATTAAGTTAAAAAATTACCGTATGTTCGGTTAAAAGTGGTGATGTCTTTCGACCGCTTAGGGGTGCAGCTGATATCCATGGGAAACTCTTTCTAATATATTTCAATCAGCCGATTGCTACTGGCACTTTTTTCCAGACGGAGAAAGACAAAGAAATCTGTATTATGTAAAACTCCTAGCGCTGACTTTTAGCTTGTTGTTGATATGGCAGCCAGTTGGAGCATTTTAGTTTATACATGGTTCGTGATGTTGCTTACTTCCTGGACCGATCCACTGCATATCTGTGCAAGACAGATACGGCTTTCCCTTTTTCAGTGGATGTCACAATGATGTGTCTGGCTTCCCTATGTGTTTTCACCGACCGCTATCTCTATAGCTGCCCTTCAGAATGCTCCGCAATTTCCCGGTTACAGGGCAATCATACATCAGCTCAAATACGTTCCTTTATTTTAGACTTTAAGAATCTTTTTGACCGACGCCTTGTTTCGATATGTCAAGGTAGTGGTTTCTATCAAATCTTTGTCATCTTGGTACGTAATTGTTTGCTTGACAGTATACTTCATTCTCAGAACTTTGGTTGTTGGATTTTTAAATTACACCAGAATGAACTCTTTAAAGAAGAAATATGCCATTTACATTTTTGTCGTCTCTAAATTGACAGTGTTCGTGTTTTTCATTGTTACTTTTACCAATCTCATGGTTACCCGTTTGGCCCTGAGTGTGGAAACCCGCGAGATACATAAAACAGATCGAGCTATAAACTCACTCGATTTGGATATCATAAACGGACTGCTGCAGGTCTTTGGTACAACCACTTTTAGAATTAGGTTGATAAAATTCTTTTAGGAAAAGTTTTCCGTCGACGACAGAAACATTCTTTGCTTCCACATGTCTTTGGAGAGAGAAAGATAGAGGAAGTCGAAAGAGGCTCATTCTCGACCTCAGAGCCACTCGTTTTCGCTTACTCTGACCGCATGACCGGCTCATTACAATGATTGCGCCCACACGGAGCGAAGGAATTTGTTTCCTTCTTTTTTATTTTACAATTTCCGCTGTTTGTGGCTACCGCCTAACCTCTTATGTAGATCAGTTTTTTAGCGATTCGATATCGTTTGAGCTAAACATTTTAATGTTTTTGTTTGGTTAAATGTACTAAATTTGTAAAATTTATTACCTTGTTTTGAATGTCAATGTTGGAACAGTACGACGCATGAAAGAAGCTAGTGTGTATTGTAAACCACAAAGCCATAATTCGTCATACCACACAAAAGAAGTTCTCCACTTCCGGTTTTCTGTGTCATGTACTTCGAGTTTGCACAGAATCTTGGGCCTGGGGTTTTTCCCTGACAAAACAACTCCCAATAAAAGGCAGCATCGCTTTCCGCAAGTTCACAGTTTAAATCGTTTTCTCGAGATTTTTCGTTCGTTGATATTTATGTTCAATTTCATTTGGACCTTATTAATCTTACTGAATCCCTTTGAAACATTCTCATAACGGATTGAGGTGGCGAGGTTGGGAAAAACGTTTATAAAACAGTCAAACGTCGCATCTGTATATTCAACAGGGTAAGACTCTACATGGTTATGAAGGATTTGTATACATTAGGTAAATGCCTTTATTTTGAGCTTCTCTGTCAAAATTAACACTTTCAAGTGTTTTTGAAATCTTTTTGGATTTTCTTTGATTTCTGGTGGTGTGATACTCTCCTACAACTACAAAGAATTGCTAACTTAATTGGAATACTTCGTTGCAGTGAATTGCCGTCCAGCGTTATTTTAAAACTTACCTTAAAATGCTGACGAATTCACAAAAAATTGCAGAGGAAAAGAAACGGTATTTACTTAAAAAAAAAGAAATAATAAAGTTGTAAATTTAGTGGGATTTAGCAGTGGACATGGATACGAGGTGGTGTGAGGTTTTTGTATACTGAGTAAAAATTTTTATTTTGAGCTTCTCAGTTGTTTTTTTCTCCTCCAATTTTTTTTTAACTTATCCTAATTCTCTTTTAATTCTGGTTATGAAGGCACAGAATTACAACTGCCGAGGATTCTAACTTTTACTTGACTCTGGCGCTACGGTGCACTTGCTTAATTAAAACTTACACTCAGAGTTGACGAATACAACAAAAAGCAACAGGAATAATAATCTATCTAGGAAAAAACGAATGATTCTTAATTGTTTCGAGGAAAGTCCAATGGATTGCTTTAATTTTGTGTTTAGTGATGAGCGAAGCACTTTCACTCTACTTACGAAATTGAAAGTGCTTCAATCAGCACCAATCTCCAAATTAAATATGGGTGTTTTTTTAAATTATCATTACTATTATTTTAGACCCCTTTTAACATAGAGGCGTGATCACAAAGGATGATCACGTAGGTAAAAATTGTGATCATAGTCTGGAAAAATTTCCGGGCATGATCACGCTAAGTCTCCTTCGCAGCCGTGCTTAGTTAGTTCTCCTTAGTTCATAACTAAACAGTCGTTCGTAGGGAGGAGCTTTGCGTGACGAGTCTATGAACGGCTAAGAAGGAGACTATATCACGCTGTTATTTCTGTGAGTCGTGACGTTTGTTTTCCCAAAGCGATTTTATAAAATTTCTTTGCCAATGGAGATAGTCAACATTTCCACCAGTCTGTTCTAAACTCCAAATCAGCATGCGGCTAGTTGTGTGTTAGTGAACATTTGAAAACAATGCTGTCTACGTTAGTGCGTGACAGTCTGTTGCTCCAGTAAGAAAAAAACAATAAAGGTTCACAAAGAAACGTGTGAAAAATAATTGCAAGTATGAGTTGAAAAGAGTTTCGTAAAATAAATACCTGCTTTAGAATTTTTTTTTTTCTGAACGAGTGCGTGACTCGGCTGCGTGAGAACTGCGTGAGAACTCGAAGGAATGGAGGTTCTTCGTGACAAAAGTCACGCATTGAGCGTGAGATTCACGCTAAAACTATTACTTTTCATACATTTAAGGTTTCTGATACGAACTGTTGATTTTAATTTCAAGAAGAAACCGCTGTTTTTGTAAAGTGCCTAGAAAATTAATTATCTTTCTAGATGAAATTTGGTGTGCATATATTTAGAATGAGTTAGAGCTTCCAGCTTTGATCGATTCAAACTTCTCGGATGTAATTTGGACTTGACTTGTGGCGGTAAATGGTATGAACGTCACGCAGTCACTGAATTTTTCTCTGTTTTCAACAGGATTAATATCACTGTAACTTTGTGTAAATAAATCAAGGTTTTGTATATAATTGAACTTAAATATAATATGTGAGATTTATGAATCTCATCACCTCTGGGGCTGCTTTTCTTTTTACTCCATTTATCGAGAGCGTATATATTATTTTTTAATTCAGGCTCCGTTGACCTGACGTCTACTAGTTCCTTTTGCACTTTATCACATGATAGTGTTCAAACAGAAATTTAATAGCAAACCTTTTTTTCACATCAGTAGTGGCTATGGAGAGGTCTTTCAACTGAAGTTCCAGCCGTGGACGTTGAAACAGCTGAGAGAAATTTCAGAGGATGTTAATCATGAGAATCTTTACAAGGTAAAGTTCACTTCAAGCTTCAATTACTTTGCCACAAGAACATGCACTGTGTATTCCTCCTGTATATAGATCGTAGCAGAGGTAAAACAACATGTATGACCACCCCGTGGGGTGTACTTCCTAGTAATAGGCTGATGGGGATGTGCCGCCGGATAAAGAGGCATTTTCACGACCGAATTGACTATAATGGGGTAGCATTTTCAAGAGATTAAATAACTAGAATTGGGTAGCACATTTTAGGAACTTTGGGGGAAAGAAAATTCTCGAAAAGTGGGGACTTAAAAACGGAAAGTTCGCAGTTAAAAGTTTGTTACCAGCTCGCATTGCCAAAGTGACTATAATGAGATCGATAATTAGCCACAGAATAGACTGTAACGGGGTAGGGGGTTCTGAAAGACCAGCGGCACATACCCACAAAAATTGACTCAAGTACCTCCTCAATTTATCGTATATTTTTTTTCTTATCCAGGGGAATGTGACGTTACCATGACTACAGCTTCCCTTGACACTGATCAGCCATTGCTACGTAAATCAGCCAAAATAATACTAATCTGGCTAAGACGAAGAAATCTCTGTTATGCACATGCAGATTGTTGTTGCTATGGCAACTAGTTGGGGCACTTTTGTACATGATTCGTGATGTTGCTTGCTTCAGGGTCCAATCCACCGCATATCCGTGCAAAAAAGATACCTATTTCCCTTTTTCAGAAGAGCTAACAATAGTGTGGCTGGCTTCGCTGTGTATTTGCATCGCTATCTTCGTAGTTGCTTTTCGGAATGTTCCACAGTTCCCTGGTTACGAGGCAATCTTATATAAGCTCATGTTTGTTCCTTCATTCTTGACTTTGGTTCTTCTTCTCACCCTCGCCATATGTCGATACATTAAGCTATTCATTTATATCGAGTCTTTTGAATCTCGGGTCATAATTTTTTTCTTGAAAAGAAGTTGTGTTCTCAGAACTCTAGCTGTAGGATTTCTAAATTACACCAGGTTAAACTTTTTGGAGAAAAACTATCACAATGTTTGTGTATATAAACAGTTTGTGTAGGCTCTTCTTTCAATTTCAGCTGAAGCACTTCCGGCTTCAAGCTTGCACAGAGTTATGGGCCAGGGGACTCCCCCTTTTATTTTCACAATGCACCATGGATATTCTTCGTTGTATAACACAGGTTTCGAGGCTTTCTTGGTACTTTCTTGGCCTTGGTGACTTTCTTTGAAACATTTCCATGACGGATTGAGGAAGTAAGGTCGTAAAACAGTTAAACGTGCCTTCCATTTCGGCGACAGAGGTAAGAACGCATGGTTGTATATAGATTATTGAATATAAATTAAATACCTTTATTTGAGTTTCTTAGTTAACATTTTCTCCCACAAATGTTCTTAATGTGTCCTAATTTTGTCTGATTTCCGGCCATGAAAGACATTCCTGCAGCTACCTGACAAGGATTGCTAACTTTTACGAGATTCTGGCGTGTATTAATTGTCAATTGCCGCTTCCTGTTACTCAATTGCAAGTTATAAGCTAATTTAACCGAGCTTGTTTGAACATGTTACAGTTGTCGAATTCTCAAAAATTCGCAGGCAATACCTGGCATTGACCTTGGAAAAAAATACGTAATTCGGGAGAGTGAAAAGGAATATCCGAATTATCGATTTGCAAGCGCTGATGACCGAAACACTTTCGGTTTCGTTTGCGCGTCATGTAGTTCATGCAGACAATTGCGTTTTGCCTTAGCTTTCATGTCAGATTTCTATATGTATTTACTTAAATTGCTCCCGTATTTACGATGCATTTGATTAAAAAAACGATCAACCATTTCCATATATATGTGTTTATGTTTACTATTTTACAATTTGAAAGTAATTTTTTTCTTTTTGATGGACTGGCTAAATTCTCCTTCCAAACAGTACTGTTATACTGATTTCCTTGTTAAATATTGAGACAAGTTGATTTTTCTTCAAATGTCAGCTAGTGATTTATTCCAAGCATCCTTTCAATCAACTGCATTTGATTGATTGGTGTCTGAGTAAAGTTTTGCCTTTTGTCATCTTCTAATCAATATATGATCAATCAACAATCACATAAACTGAATATTTGCGATCAATTTTTTTTTTATCAAAAGTTGAATATGATGTAACGTAGGATTATGAAAACGAGCTGGGGCAGTTTTAATTCAATATACTCTAGGGTTAGGGTTTAGGGACCTTACTCAGTTATTCTAGTTTTAAGTCTAAGGCAACACTTGGTGACCGGGCATTTATGTTTGCGGCACCTAAGCTATGGAATAATTTACCAAGGGATATAAGAGAATCTAGTTCTATTAATAGTTTTAAATCGAAGCTTAAGACGTTTCTTTTTAAGAAAGCATTTTATAATTGATAAAGTTTTTATAGTTATTTATTCATTGATAAAGTTTTAAATAGAACATTTCAAGTAATAATTAGTTATATATTATATATCTTATTTATTATGAATCGTATTTAATTGTTATTTTGTATCCCAATGATCATTATTATTATTATTTTTATTTTATCTTTAGTTTATTGTAATTATTATGTTACTGCGCATTTGAATATATATATATATATATAATTTGTGCCTTAGAAGTCAATAAATTATTATTATTATTAACTAATCCGGTGTTTAAACCAATAAAAGGTGAGGTTGATTCAAAGGTTTAGCGGATCCTCAATGCACTTATTTATTGTGCACTATCAACTTGAAGGACGCCTAACTCCAGCAGGCACCATGAATATTAGTGTCTATTACTCTTGAGGTTACCAGGTAAATGTGGTCAATCTTTGCAGGAGTGAATCAGAGCTCTAGCGATGAAACAATGAATTACTCCTAACCTAACCTGAAATGATTATCAGGGATCTTTACATTCAATATTTCAGTTACTTATGTCTTAAAGCAATGAAAAATATGGATATTTTTGTCGTAAACAGAAATGAAGAGAAGTATGTAAACAGTTTCACTATTTGCAGTGATTTAGGCAACAACTCAACCGACAGGTTGTCCAATGAATTGATTTATGCTCACGGCATTTCACTTTCGCCAAACGCTTAAACATTAATTAATATGCGGATCAAATTTCGTCCACACAAAGTACACGAATCTAGAAGGAACTCCTCTGTATGGAACGTGAACTCGAAAGACTGGAAGAGAAAGGGAATCTGGTTTCAAAAAGGGTCTAAATATCTTGAAATTTTCCTCTTAAAAAAATGACAATTGGAAAATACATCTAACAAATGATTCACACAAGTTTTCTTAGCTGAGGAGTATTACTGAGTTATCTCCTTCTAAAGAAGCCGAGACGTAAAAAGGTGTGTCAAGAAATATTTCGCTGGAAAGCTAATGGAAGGTATGTTGAAAAATTATATCAGTATTAGGGAAATCAGTATTGATCGTTAACGATAGATCAAAGAAACCAACCACGAGTCCAACCGCGAGTCCTACACACGTAAATACCATAAACGGACTGCTGAGATCTTTGGTGCAACCAATTTTAGAATTAGGTTGATGAAAATCTTTTGGGAATAATTTTTCATCGAAGACAGGAACATTCTTTGCTTCCATATGCCTTTCAAGTGAGAAAGACTGCCAAAATCGTAAGGGGTTCATTCTCGTCCTCAGAGCCACTCGTTTTCGCTTACTCTAATCACATGACCAGCTTCTTGTTGCTTCCGCCTTACCTCTTGTGTAGATCAGATTTTTAGCAATTCGATATCGTTTGAACTATATGTTTGAAAAAAAATTTTTTTGGTTAAATGTACTAAATTTGTAGAATTTATTAGCTTGTTTTGATTGTCAATGTTGAAACAGTGCGACACATGAAAGAAGCAGTCTGTATTTTAAACCACAAAGCCATAATTTCGTTATACTATTTCAGCACGGTTTTCCGTGTCGTGTTCTTCAATTAAGCTTGCACAGAATCTTGGGCCTGTGGTTTTTCCCTGACAAAACAACTTCTATTATTAGGCAGCAACGCTGTCGGCAAGTTTATAGTTTAAATAGTTTCCTCGAGAGTTTTCGTTCGATGTTTCTGTTTCTTACCGAATTCCTTTGAAACATTCTGATAACGAATTGAGGTGGCAAGGTTGGGAAAAACGCTTATGGAACAGTCAAATGTGGCTAAGTGTTTACTCGACAGGGTAAGACTTTCCCAGGTTGAGAAGGATCTTTATACATTAAGTAAATACCTTTTTTTTAGTTTCTCTGTCAAAATTAACACCTTCAAGTGTTTAAGAAATCTTTTTTGATTTTCTTTGATTTCTGGTGGTGTGAAACTCTGCTACAATTACCGAGGATTGCTAACTTTTATTTGAATACTTCGTTGCAATGAACTGCCGTCCCACGTTACTTTAAAACTTAACTTAAAATGCTGGCGAATTCACAAAAAAATGCAGAGAGAAAAAAACGTTATTTAACTAAAAAAAAAAGAAAAAAAGAAAAATAATAGGATTTAGTAGTGGACATTCTCCGAGGTGGCTGTTCTTGTCCACTGATTCAAATTGTCAATAAACAATAAGCGCTAACAATACTGTGGCTGGCTTCGCTGTGTATTTTCATCGCTATCTTCAAAGTTGCTTTACGGAATGTTCCACAGTTCCCCGGTTACAAGGCAATTTTATATCAGCTCATGTTTGTTCCTTCATTCTTGACTTTGGATCTTCTTCTCACCCTCTCCTTGTATCGATACATCCTCGAGATGCATACAGCATATACAGCTAAGAACTCCTTGGATATAGATACTATAAACACACTTTTGGCAGTTTTTGGCATCACCACTTTTAGAATTTTCTTAATGAATTTCTTTTGGGAAAAGCTTTTAACGACAATAGGAACATCCTTCGTAACCACATTCCTTTGGAGCGAGAAGGAATGGAAAATCACAGGGTGTCCACTCTCGTCCCCGGAGCAACTCGTTTTCTCTTTTTCGAACACGAGGAATGCTTATTGATTGTGATTGATAAGACTTACCTCTTAAGTTTAGTGTGAAGAGTGATAAGGAAACATGTAAAAATGAGATATAATCATACAAAGTATAGCTGATCGTATGAAAGTGAGAGAATAATGTCATGTGAAGCGCTAGAGAAGTATGTTAGTAATGTTTACTAAAGGTATATACATATGGAGTATGGTAAGTTTCAGGGAGATTTCTACTCCAGAAGCAGTCTATTAGGTTCATTTTGGTTGCTTTTGGCCTCGCACCAGCGACAGGCATTATAATTAACAACGTATCAATAAATTAATTTAGTTTCTAAGGAAACTGTGGTGTTGCGTCGATGAGGGGTACAACAAGATAATTTGGTTTTGTAATCCAACTACACACAGTAGTTTTAAATGACGCGAATATATGTATATACCACATGTGTACAGTTGGCTATTTTTGTGCTGTAAAAAAATCTGTTTGAGCGGTCGGCTGCGCAAGCTGCACTTCTCTATCCAATCTGCTTTTCCCGCCTTATGAGAGATGAACAAAAAGACTTGGCAAGAAAAAAAAGCAGTTGGATCATATATAGCTTATTAGACTTTTTTGTGTTTAGTATTACTTAGTATTTTCACTCCTTGTTTACATTTTGTTGAGGCTGTAGGAGAAGTCAAAATACGGCACAACTCTTAAGAAGACTCTAAGGTATGTCATCGCCAGACAAAGAAAATCCAAAAAATCTTTTCAGGAAAAAAAACCGGAAACCAATATCCCCAGAAACAGTGCGGTGCCAAAAACGCTATAGTCCTCTAAATGGTATGCAATCACAGAATGAAAATTAAGATAAATAACAGTTTATGTTCACGCTGCAGGTCGTATAGTCAGCTTTTAGGAGTTTGTTCTCGTTATAGTTTTGATTCGTAACTATTGCTAATAAATTATCTTT